AGCTGTCACATACATACAGTGGAACATGAATGGACCTTGATGGCATCAAGCTAAGTAAAACAAGTCAGAGAAAGACAAATGCTGTATGGTCTCACTTATATGTGGAATCTAAAAAACAAAAACAAAAATGAAAAATTTGTAGTAAAAGAGATCAGAGGCCAAACGTAGAGGTGGAAGAGGAAGGTAGTCAAAAAGTAGAAGCTTGAGGGGTACCTGGGTGGCTCTGTCGGTTAAGCATCTATCTTGGGCTCAGGTCATGATCTCAGGGTCCTGGGATGGAGCCTGCTTCTCCCTCTTCCTCTGCCCTTCCCCCCTACTCATGTGCTCTCTCTGACTCTCTCTCTCTCTCTCTCTCTCTCTCTCTCTCTCTCTCTCTAAAACAAATAAATAAAAATTTTAAAAAGGACCAGCTTCAGGTTATAAAATACATAAACTAGAGATGTAAAGTGCAGCATGATGACTCTGGCTAACCCAGCTGTGTGATACACAGGAAAGGTGTTAAGAGAGCAAATTTTGAGGGTTCTCACCACAAGGAAAAAATTTTCTATCTCTTTTTGCTTTTTTCCTTTATTGTATCTATACTCGAAGTTAGATGCCAAGCAAACACAGCAGTAATTGCTTCACAATACATGTTCGAACCATTCTTCAGTACACCATAAACCTATACAGTGAGGCATGTCAATCATCTCACCATAAAACTGGGGGCGGAAATAGCTCCATGTGTCTCTTCTGGGGTTTCTCAATCTCAGCCGTGGTGACATTTGACTGGATAATTCCTGATGTACTGGGGGATGTCCTGTGCCTTGCAGGATGTTTAGCAGCATCTCTGGTCTCTACTCACCAGATTCCACTATAACACCTCCTCAAGTCATGACAACTGAAAATGTCTCCAGATGTTGTCAGATGCTCCCCCAGGGGGGCGGTGGGCAAACCTCCTCTCCATTAAGAACCACTGCTTGGAAAAAAAGAACCACTGCTCGAACCAGGGGATGTAGGGAACTATATTGTACACTAATATAACACTAGATGTTAACTAACTGGAATTAAAATTAAAACTTAAAAATAAAAGAACGGCTGCCTGAAACTCTAAGCTGTTAGAATAATACTATAAACATTAACGACAGAGGGAATGATCTTTTTATTTTTTAGCACTCACCACGTGCTAAACATCGTTCAAAGCCCTTCTCATGAATTATAGAATTTAATCCTCTCAACACCCCAAGGGTGAGGGATTTTAGGCGCATTTTATTGATAACAAAACTGGATCAGAGAGAGGTTAGGAACTTGCTCATGGTCTGTTTTATTCTCCTCTTTTCTATCCCCAACACCTCACATGTGACCTGATACAACCTGATACAACAGCTCAATAGCAACTTGAAGAATGTATGAATGAATTCATTAATGAGAAAGTTCCCTGCATAACAGCAGTTGAATCAGGGACGGTGACCCATTGGTCTTCTCCCAAGTCCCACAGCACCCCCATAAAAGTGGTTTAATTCTTTTGAAACTCCTTCCCCAGCTATGGCTCTTTCAAGCTATCCATACATTTTATGGGAGTTAAGCTGTTCTGGGCACTCTGTTCTTGTTATTAATAACATGAATTACACCTTCCAGCTTACGTTATGAGGGATTTACTCAATCCAGCCAAGGGTCCTGACATTACCAGATAAATACCATTGATACTATCTTCAACCTGTCAGTCTCTCCTTTCAGACTTTGGTGAGGTACAATGATACTATTTTTTCCAGCTTGGAACATACCATGCTGAAAACCCCTCCAAAAAAGGGTGTTTCTTATGAGCACTATATGCAGTGCTGCTCAGACACATGAAGTCAGAGAATGCTCCCCTGGTCCGGAAGGGTGGGCCTTTTCATCCTATGAAGGAATCAGTGAACAGAAGGGCAAACCATAACTAATTGGTTCTTGATTAACACAGATTCAGCATTTAAATCTGCTTAACCTGTGTTGTGAAAAAGACCGTAGATAAACACAAGTATAGATCCTTACATTACAATGGCTGGAGATCTTAAATATCCCAAGCCCAGGATTCATACCCAATGGGTGCAGGGAGAAGACATAGGGACATGCTTTCTGTTATGAAGCAGGGAACTGATGTTTCTTGACTCTCTTAAAATTCTGGAAAGTGTTAAACACAAAGCAAACATTTAAGAGAGAGCTGAGGTTATGATAAAGCAATACCTACTGAAAGACCTTGTAGACTCATTAAGGGAGGAAGGGCCAGGTCAGACAGATCTCACTTTGAATCCTAGCTTGGCTACTTTGGGGGTTGGAGAGGTACTCCACCTACTTTAGAATCAGCTTCCTCACCTATAAAATGGGCCTAATTGTGCCATCTTGAAGGGTTGTTGACACAATTCCATGAGATAATGAGGGTAAGGTATCTGGATTTTAACAGGTGTCTCATAAAGGATAGCTTTTTTAAATTGTTACAAAAATGGTCTTAAGGATATGTGTGTCTTCGTGTGCATATGCACACACACACACACACACAAACACACACACACACCCTTCGTTTCACAGAGAAAACTTTTGAGGCCAAAGCAGGGGAGGAGTTTTAATGGCAGCACCAGAATTAGAATCATTACATGCCCCCATCCCATCCATTCTGGCCTCAGAGCTCTTTCATGAAGAAGAGAGCCAAAGAATGGGCAATACAGAAATAAATAAACCAGTGCATGGAGAATCTCAGATATCCGGTGGCATCATCAGTGTTATAGATTTCGTTTGATATCTTGATCCAAAAGGATTTCTCCATCGGGCAATAATTAGATGCAAAGCAATGCAAAGATGATATGATGTGAATGTTTTTCCTCAAGATCTCACTGTCTAAGGAAGGAAAATAAATGCAACCATGAATCTAGATTCACTTCAGACCACTTTTTACGTTATTACATGTATTGCAACTAAATAGAAAGTATCTCACCACATACCACCAACACATGTATAATTCTGTTCTCGTTTAAACTTACTCCAGAATTGTTTCCCCCACTTTTCTATGACATTCTAGGCATAGATTAGTGCCTTAAGTCTGGCACAGATTAGTACAACACTCCCATCACCACGAATTCGATCACATTTTCTCATAAAAGGAGAAGAAAAAAAAAAGACAAAGCTATCCAACAAAGGATAATGTGAAACACCACCCTTAGATTTTCACATATTTAAGTTTTCTTTTTTAGTAAAAATTACAGAAACACTGATATAAAGTCATATTTATTCCTGGGAGGGAGAACGTGTATTTCTACATATGTATGAGTCAAGTCAGATGATTACAATTTCTTTAAAGGAATACTATTGTTATGAAGGTTCCAGATCATAAGGAGCCCCAGAATTCCCCTACCCTATCAATGCCGTTAGAAAGAAACACACAATATATATACAGTGAAATATTCCTCAGCTATCAGAAAGGACAAATATCCATTTGCTTCGACGTGGATGGAACTGGAGGGTATTATGCTGAGTGAAGTAAGTCAATTGGAGAAGGACAAACATTATATGGTCTCATTCATTTGGGGAATATAAAAAATAGTGAAAGGAAATAAAGGGGAAAAGAGAGAAAATGAGTGGGAAATATCAGGGAGGGTGACAAAACATGAGAGACTCCTAACTCTGGGAAACGAACAAGGGGTAGTGGAAAGGGGGGTGGATGGGGGATGGGGTGATTGGGTGACGGGCACTGAGGGGGGCACTTGATGGGATGAGCACTGGGTGTTATGCTATATGTTGGTAAATTGAACTCCAATAAAAAATATACAAAAAAAAAGGAAAGAGAAAGAAAAAGAAAGAAAGAAAGAAGAAGAAAGGAAGGAAGGAAGGAAGGAAGGAAGGAAGAAGAAAGAAAGAAAGAAAGAAAGAAAGAAAGAAAGAAAGAAAGAAAGAAAGAAAGAAAGACACAAATAGCCAGGCCAGTCTTGCAAACCCTGCAATAACCTGGACTGTAGTAGCCATTAGAATTTAATGCAGATGACCCCAGAGCAGACGAAGTCATGGGAGCCACCTTCTCCATCCCTCTGTCTTATGAACTTCTAGAACCCTAGAAAGATGTGACTCTCCTTTACCTTCATAAATGTCACTGCCTTCCAAAAGGACCTACTCTTCCTGGTTCAGGAGCATGTGCAGGATGCTCCAAGGCAGCCACCCTCCCTCCCCTGCACGATGAAGCCCCCCAACTGGGCTCTCAACCACTTCCCTTCTTCCCTCTGGGACTTGGCATCCTGGACTTCACAGTCTTCAGAAGCTTCCTGCTTCGGTTTGCACCCATCACACCACCTGAGGGCCATCTCCCATGGCGCTCCCAGCCACAGTTCACCCCTGCCTGGGTCACCCCCACTCCTGCTTTCATTGTCCAGCTTCTCTGGGTGGTAGCCCTTCTCTACCTCCATATTTTTACGGATATTTTTTCCTTAACATCCAAGGTCTGCAAGGACCCCTGCACAGCGCCTGATACAAATAAGTGTTCAAAAACAGCAATCCTGATTATTACTATTACGGCCAGCCTTATTATTGCATCCCCGTAAATCCACCAAAATATCTCTGCCACGTCACCAACAGCCTCCCATCCTCCCATCTGGCGGTCTTTACTCCATCCTCACTGACCTGGGACAGGTAAAAACACCCCTGCTTCTTTGACATTTCTTTCTCTGGCTTCTAGGGCAACCCTCTTGGCCCAGGGTCTCGCAGACTTTAGAATCAGGAGGTTAATCAGCACCCGCCTCCAGCCCCCTCACCCAAAAAGCAGGTGCTGCAAATCCCAACCTCCCAGCATCGAGGCTGTTGCACGCATGGGCCCTCTTCCCCCACAGGCCTCACTCTCTGGCTTCCTGGAGGTCCCAGCCCACGTGTCACCTCCCCAGAGGGGACCTCCCCGACCGGCAGGAGCACCTCAACCAGAGGCAACAACTCGGTGAGCTCCAAGGACAAAAGCCGAGGTGGCCCTCGTCCCCGCAGGCTGTCCTGTGGCTGGCTCGCTCCCTGCTCACCTGGATCAGCGTCTCCAGCTCCTGGGGGCTCACGCAGATGTGATCCCGCAGGAATTCTGCCTTCTCCAAGGCGATGGTGTTCTTCTGGCTGCTCTCGAAGGGCTGCTCCAAGGCCCGGAACACCAGACCGCCCGTGACGAGGTAGACCACCACGACCACAAAGATGGCGACGACTGTCTTCCACTTCATGACGGTCTGCAGGCCCCCCTGGGGGGCGCCTTCCATCCTGGCTACCACCGTGGCTCGGGAGGAGATGGAGAGGCGTGGGGTCGCGTGGTGCCCGTTAGTGGCCCCCTTGGGCTGGCACACGGGGGGCGCTGCTGTTGGAACGGCCACTGAGAAACAGGGCGGGGGGGGGGGGGACAGGGGAAGAGAGTTTGTTGATAAACATGAGACACAGAACATGTCAGAAACCAAGCACAGCTTGATGGGATGAGCACTGGATGTTATACCATATGTTGACAAATTGAATTTAAATGTAAAAAAGTGGAAAACAGTGTGGAGGTTCCTCAAAGAGTTAAAAATAGAGCTACCCTACAACCCAGCAATTGCACTGCTGGGGATTTACCCCAAAGATACAGATGCAGTGAAACTCTGGGATACCTGCACCCCGATGTTCATAACAGCAATGTCCACAATAGCCAAACTGTGGAAGGAGCCTCTGTGTCCATCAAAAGACGAATGGATAAAGAAGAGGTGGTCTATGTATACAATGGAATATTCCTCAGCCATTAGAAACGACAAATACCCACCATTTGCCTCAACGTGGATGGAACTGAAGGTGTATTATGCCAAGTGAAATAAGTCAACCAGAGAAGGGCATCATCATATGGTCTCACTCATACGGGGAATATAAGAAATTGTGAAAGGGATTATAAGGGAAAGGAGGGGAACTGAGTGGGAAAAATTAGAGAGGGAGACAAACTATGAGAGACTCCTAACTCTGGGAAACGAACAAAAGGTTGCGGAAGAGGAGGTAGGTGGAGAGACGGAGTAACTGGGTGACGGGCGCTGAGGAAGGCACTGGATGGAATGAGCACTGGGTGTTATGCTATAATGTTGGCAAATCGAACTTAAATAAAAACAAATGTAAAAAAATTTTTAATATAAAAAGAAAAAAAAGAAACAAAGCACAGATGTCTTTCTCAAGCCAGCTTTCAAACATGAGGATTCAAAACTGGCAGTGAGGGAATCTGACCAGTTGCTAGGTGCCTGTTTCAGTTCTTTAAAAAAAGAGCACCAGGAGTTCTGGGTTTGTTGTTTTTTGGTTGTTGGTGGTTTTTTTAAGAGTAGTATTAACTGAGTTTGAAATTCTTATACTTCTCTACAAGGGCCCAGTTTAGAAAGCCAGGTCTCTGTGATCTACAATTCATCCCTTCTCTCAGCCTCCTCGGTGAAACAATGTGTAAGTCACAGGACAAACCATCATGTTTGAAAAACAGACATGTTGTTCAGCTTGGAGAGGAAATAAATAGGAGCCGGATGCCCAGCTACTTGGTCCACGTACTGAGGACCGCAGAATACCAAGAGTGGATAAGAGATGAACATCTAGCAGGTTTCAAAGTCCCTTTTATCCCAGGTTGTAGTCACAAAACAAAGAGAAAGAAAGGTGAACTTGCTATCAGGCAGACGGGTCAAAAATCAGACAACGTCAAAGAGAGTTTGGGTCTCAGGAGGCTACCAAAGTGAAAAACAGAAAGCAGGTAACTGGATTGAGGGAAGGAAACAATGAGTGATATTTTATGCCAAGTAACTCGGTTCCCTGAAAAAATAATAATAAAATAGGTGCTAAGTGCATTTCTCAATAAAAAATGCAATGACTTAGATGTAATCACTCCTGATCTATTAGTGATAGAGTTTTTCTTCTATTTTCCTCCAATAAGAAGCCATTGGAAAAGAAATCTCACCTCATCTTGAGAACACATTGAACTCTCAAGGGTCCCTGGTCTCTATAAGGGCAGTTGCATTACCTTGGAAATAAATATGTGAAACTGGAGGCTTTTCCAGAATGGCAGGGAGAGCAGGGTCGTGTTGTGCACATTCTGCTATCGTGCATTTCGGAAATCTGTCCCGTGCAGCAGTGAACAGCACTGAACTTCGGTTTTGCTCTGCCTTTATTATACTAATGTGTATTATGGCCTCTGTCACAGTGCAGCCTGGCCATTGTGCAAATAAGGTATTAGGAGATGGTATTAGGTAATTACCTAAGTGGAGCAAATGATTACAGAGCAGATTGCTCGGTCCCTGCTTTGGGAAACTCAAGAAAAATAAAAGCAGGGGAATGTCACTCCCTCTCTGTTCAAAGCACCAATGACCCTGATGACCCCTTGGCCAGAAGGGTGGCCACCTCAAGGAATCTAGGTCTACAAACATCTGCCTTTCCTCCTAGCGCCTCAAAATCAACTTTTCTCTTTGAAAACCAGGCGGAACATCAGCCTTTTATTATACATTTTTCTAGCAAATAAAGTCACTAAATGCTACGTTTCCTCCTGAGTCACTGAACACTAAACCATCTGGAATCTCTCACTGAAAGATTTCAGAATCAGAATAAGCACTTTGGGCATCATGTTCTTGTTAATCTTGCCCCCAGACCACTACTTGCAGGTTCCTACAGCCCTGGTTGATACTGAAGTGCATCTTGTGTAGGGCAGCTTTCTTTCAACCTTGCTCCCACACCTCCCACTCACTCACCCTCCTTGCTGTATTTCTCAGTCCCTTGTGCCTCTCACCATTCCCAGGACCACCAACCTCATCAGTGCTATCATCACAGCTTACCTGGACCAACCCAGCAGCCTCCTACATGACCTCCCCGCCTTCACTCTCACCCACCTTTGACAAATCTGGTGTTAAAAAACACTTCTGGAAGTACCTCCTCCCCTTTTCCCCTGCTCCCTCTGGGGTTGCCAAAATAATGGCCCCCACAGATGTTCATGTCCTCAATCCCGGGGCCCTGTGCCTGTGCTACCTGACATCAATTCACAAAAGGAACTTTGCAAATGTGATTAAGTTAAGGATCTGGAGATAGAGAATTCTCCTAGGTTATCTGGGTGGGTCCAATGTAATCACAAATGTCCTTAAAAGAGGGAAGCAGGAAAGTTAGAGAAAGACCTGTAAGGAAGGGAGCAGAGGTCACAAGCCACAGGATGGAATCAGCTCCTAGAAGCTGGAAAAGGCAGGGAACAGACTCTCCTCTAGAGGCTCCAGAAGGATCCATCCCTGCCTACACCTTAATTTTGGTCCAAAGGGACATTTTTGAACTTCTGACCTCTAGTACCACAAGCTAATAAATAGGTATTGCTTTAAGCCACTAAGATTGTGGCAATTTGTTACAGCAGCAACAGGAACCTCATACATGCCCGCTAGACTAGCTCTCTCTTGGCCTACACTCACTGCACTGTGCTGTTAATAGAGCCTGTTTACTTGTCATTTGACCTAGAGCTTCAGGAGGGTAGGCCCTGAGCCTACCCTCTCACCTTTGTACCCCAGTGTCCTATACAGTGGCTGGCTCACAATACACTGATTCAAAGAATGGAGAATAAAAGGAAAAGATATTGGCACCTCCAATCCACACATACAGTGTGATTGAGTGGTGTTCGGTGGAAAGAGCTTGGCAGTCCACCAGCACTCAACAGCAGATGCTCCAACACAGCAGTGCTCTGTTCCCTCCTCCACACCTTCATGGGTGTTCCTTTGGCCAGCAGCCTCTGCCCCACCTTCACCTCCTGGGAAACACCCAATCTCCTCCATCTCAGCTCAAAGCTGCCTCTTCTGGGAAGCCATCCTGGACTCTCCAGGCAGGCTTGGCAGGCCTGTCTCCCCCAAAGCCTATAAATTCCTTGGAGTCTGAAAGCTTGTCTTTTGATTGTTGGATCTCCATTTCTTGGCACAGTGCCTGGCATAGAGCAAATGTTTGTTTTCTGTTGTTGTTAACTCCTTCAGACTATAAACAAAAGCCTCATCAGAATCACCACCACCCTCAGTAACAAGCATTTAGCCAAGTGAGCATGAGGTGCTTGCTGTGCTGTGGTGGGGATAAGTCAGGGCCCCTCCCAGCCTTGGGGTTTGACATTCTACTCAGGGAACATCCTCCACAGGGTCAGGTGCCAGACACTAGGAGGAAGCCTGATGACAGCCTTGTACTTGGAGGTCAGCTGGACCAAGGTCTCCTTCCCTGACTTGCATCTTGGATGTTTCCAGGGCTTCTAGCATCCCTGAGGCCGAGCAGAATTGGGCCTGACAAAGGTCTTTCGCAGATCACTTCCTGATGCCAGTTTGCTAAGAGGCTGTCCCTGGGAGCACAGTCTGAAGAGAATCCACTGATCCTGAGTTTCCAAAGTACCAGGAGCCAACACCAGACTTTCAGTCCCAAATCCACGAGTGTCTGGTTGACCTTGAAACCATCACTTCATTTCTCTGTTTCCTCATCTGCGGAAGGTGGACCATAAGGACTCCATTGGAGGGCTGCAAGGCACATGCATGCTCATGGCCGCCACGTATCTCTCTTCGCAGATAAAGAAACTGAGTGCCAGAGAGATTTCAGACTAAACTGAGGTCAAGGGGGCAGAAAGTGGGGGAGTCAGGATTAAAATGAGAGTAATCTGACTTCAAAGTCCATTCTCTTCTGGAGCATAGGAACAGAAAAATAGGATGCAAAAAATCCCCTTGGTGGAAAGGGCCCTTTTATCTGAAATGTATCAATAATGGATGGGGCACAGAAAGTAATCTGAAAGAACCTATCATTCTTCACAACTCCAAAAGCACTGCCAAGAATCAATGAGAAGAGAAAAGCTGGAAGGGCAATACCCCTTCAGCAAATTTTCGTTTTAAAATGTTTCCTCAGGGCACCTGCGTGGCTCAGTGGTTAAGCATCTGCCTTTGGCTCAGGGTCTGATCCCGGGGTCCTGGGATGGAGTCCCATATCAGGCTCCCCTTAGGGAGCCTGCCTGTCCCTCTGCCTATGTCTCTGCCTCTCTGTGTGTGTCTCTCATGAATAAATAAATAAAATATTTTAAAAGTAAATAAAATGTTTCCTCACAAACATTCACTGATTCCACTTTTATCTAAACATGGGGAGATATGGGAGCATGCTCAGAAATCTGCTGCTTCTTGGTCAAACGAGTTCATAGCAGTTTGAAGTTGTCAGGCTTCCCCCCCTTCCTTGTACTTACTGCATTGCCCATTCTTGCACCCAGCCAATAAACATTTGAGTCAGCCGGGCACCATGCTTGGTGCTGGGGATGCAGAAATGAATAAGACATGTCCCTGCCTTCAAAGTCAGTGGGAGAGTTGACAAGGATCTCACACACTCATGAGCCTAGTTTATGGTCACAAAAAC